CATTTGACTTATCCAGCTCTTTAAAGTTTCGTTTATCTAGTTAATATTTTGTTGTAAAAAGTTATGTGTAAATTAAAGTTTGTTTAAGAATTACAAAGTAAATTCGATGTAAATAAAGTATGTTTGCCGCCGCCCTTAAATGTAGTGAAAATTAATGGAGTAAATAATTATAACTCAAGGGTAGGAGAATATAACCTATTTGTGGTATATAGCAGTTTTAGTTTTTTAGTTAAAATATTAAGTAAAGAAAAGAAAAGTTACGGCATATATACGTCTTACTGTTGGATCTATACCCAGCATGACTGTGTGTAGTCTCCTCTCACTTATGAGATTCTTTTTGAGCAAGAAAATGTCAACCGCGCTGCCCCAATGTGTGTTGACGAACTTCACAAGTCTTCAAAATATTTTTTTCTTATTTCTCAGACGTACAGGTCATCATCATCATCATTACAGTCCTGCACAAGTTCACTCATGCACATAGGCGTCCCCCAAGGAATGCTACGAAGCAAGTTCCCGAGCAAACTGCATCCATTGACTTCCTGCATGTCTTACCAGGTCGTCACTCCATCTAGTGGGGGGACGTCCTACACGTCGTCTGCCGGTACGAGGCTGCTACTCGAAAATCTTTCTTCCACATCGGTTGTCAGTTCTTTGAGCTATATGGCCGGCCCACTACCTCTTCAGCATACTAATTCTTTGGGCTATGTCGGTTACTCTCGTTCTATGGCATATATCCACGTTTTTAATTCTATCAAGTAAACAAACGCCGAGCATAGCTATCTCCATAGCTCGCTGAGAAACTTTGAGGTTACTCATACGATCTGCAATGAAGGACCACGTCTCAGATCGATAGGTCATCACTGGCAACACGCACTGGTACTACAGTCTAGTTTTGAGGTTTTGAGGTATGTCTGACGAGAAGATGTGTCTTAATCTCCCGAACGCTGCCCAGCCTCTCGGTAGAAGTTGCACTTACCTAGTCGGACTATTTCAATGGCAGCAAATTAGAAACAGACATCTACATTTTTATAAAAATGCTTTTTCTACAAAAATGAGCTTATATAAACCCTATCTACAAGTCTGTATTAAAATTATTTCTAATTTCAAAATAATGAAGAAAATCTGGCATGTAAATGAAGACATCCTCGGTAACTCATTAATTTATAATGTATAAAATGTTAAAAGCACACTAAATAAAGACATCTGCAAAATTTCGTCAAAAAAGGGGAATACTGTTTGCATGTTGCTTAGATTTTCTTTAAATATCCTTAAAAGTATTAATGGAGATTATTATCTTAGTTCATTACATATTTTAAATTAAATGGACGCTTTTTTATCACAACGAATCAGGTAGATGTCTTCTTCTACGTCAAAGTTTTTAGAGTAAAAAAAGACATCTAAATTATTTTAGTAAAACAGCGACAGAGCGATAAAACTATTATATAATTCATAAAGAATGCTATTTTAATGCTTCATAGAAAATTTTATGTTAATCGGTCCATAACTCTCAAAATGACTACAATTTTTTACTAAGTCTGCTCTCCTGTAAAATTGCAATTTTGTAGATGTCCGTTTTTAGTTTGCTGCCATCGACTTGTCCCAGGTCAACAAATTCAAGTCAAGTCAGTCAACAACTTCGTGCTTAGTACTCCCAACAATTACCGGCATAGGTGTGACATGGACGTTCAACGTGATTTTTGTTTTGTCCATGTTCATCTTAAGACCTATCCGTTGGGAGACACGATTGGGGTCATTGAGTATAGTGCTTAGGACCTCCAGCGATTCTGCTATAAGGACTGTATCGTCGGCAAATCGAAGGTGAGTGACGTACTCGCCGTTGATGTTAATACCGTATTCTTTACAGTCCAGAAGCTTGAAAACATATTCCAATGCAGCAGTGAAGAGTTTCGGGGATATAACGTCACCCTGTATTACACCTCTCTGCAATTGGATAGGTTTTGTTCTCTGGTTGTGTACTCGGATAGCCATCGTAGCCCTACTGTACAAGCACTTCAGCACTTCGATGTACCGACAGTCAACTTGGCACCGCTGAAGGGACTGCAGTACCGCCCAAATTTCAACGGAATCAAAGTCTTTCTCATAGTCCACATACGCAAGACAAAGTCGCAGATTGTACTCTTCGGTTTTCTGTACAATTTGCCGAAGGGTGTGTATGTGGTCTATGGTTCTAAAGCCTTTTCGGAAACCGGCTTGTTCGGGAGGCTGAAAGTTGTCGAGTCTGCATGCAAGACTATTCATAATGACTTTCGAAAAAGACACGTAGACGCAGATCAGAAGGGAAATCGGTCTGTAGTACTTGAAGAGAGCGTTGTCGCTTTTCTTTAATAACGAGACCATCGTACTTCTGCTCCGCGCCTCCAGAGAAGTGCCACAATAGAGGATGGAATTAAAGAGCTTTTAGAGGAACCTAAGTACCAGTTTTTCACCCGCTTTCAGAAGTTCCACTATTATTCCATCCTCGCCCGGGGACTTACCGTTTTTAAGATGCTGGAGCGCCATTCTAGCCTCGCTCAGACTCACGTCCGGGATATCATCGGAGTAGTGTCGGATAAGACTTGCTCTTGGATCGTTACTCACACTTGTGCTTAGCTCTAACGATGACGTGTATATCTGCTCATAGAACCTCTCAATCTCACTTAAAATTTCAGCTATCTCGGAAACGATGCTGCCACATTCGGTCTTCAATTTCGACAGTTGGCTCTTTCTGGCAGACATATCTCTGGCAAAGACCTTGAAGCCCTGGTTCCGCTCGATCGCTTTTTCAATACGAGCAATATTAAAGTTGCATAAGTCCCGCCGCATGCATTTGGAGATCTGTCTGTTCAGTTGCCTGTATACTATCTTATCTAATATAGACTGCAGCTTACATTTACCGTCTAACAGTCATGAGATTAAGAGTGTGATCGGAGAGTTTTTGTGTTCTTCTGCGGCGGGTCTTATAAAACTTGGCTCCGACCGCATGAACAGTTTCCACGAGCTTGTCATTCATATCGTCCAATTCATTGCAGTCTTCTTGGCACTAAAAACGGTTTTGTAACTCAAACTGAAAGGTTTCAGGACTTTGGAACAGAGCACGAGGGGGACGGAGCGTTGACTTCATTGGACGACATCTCTTCAACTTAACGTTTAGGTTCAGTGTGTCTCTAACCATTAGGTGATCGCTACCAGTTTTCACAGAACATTTGTCGTCTGGTCGTCATAGTGAAGTCAATCTCATTTTTTGTCGAACCGTCGGGGCTCGACCAGGTCCACTACCTGTGGGACCGCTTCTGGAAAAAAAAGTTCATCATAAAGAGTCCCTCTTTCTCCATGAATTTGGCCAACTGCTGGCCCCTTGGATTCCGTTGCCCTATTCCGAATTTTCCTACTTTCAGCTCTTCTCTCTTGTGCCCAGTTTAGCGTTGAAAGCTCCCATTAACACCATCGGTTTTGGAGCAATGCACGGCTCTAGTGATATCCTCATACATTTCTTCCACCTCCTCTTTGGAATGTGCAGAGGTTGGTGCGTAAACCTGTATCGCCTTCAGCGAATACCGTTTGGTAATTCTGAGTATAAGGTACGCAACCCTCGTCGACACTCTCTTAATCTTAACAACGTTGTTAATGAGACACTTGTGGACGATAAATCCGACACCTCCTTGGGACAGATGGTCGCCCTCACGGTAATAGAAAAAGTTGCCGGATTCGAGGATTACCGTGTCCTCCACCTCTCTTCGGACCTGGGATAATCCTATAATATTCCAGCGCAAATTGTCTATCTCTTCTTCTAGCTCCAGGTTCTTCTCGTCAGTCCGCAGGGTGCGTGCGTTATAAGTTGCCAGGTCGAGTCGTCGTAGGTGGCAACTGAACCTCTATTGGAGATTCTTAGCACCCCGTGCCCCGCGGTTACCATGGTCACCACCGTAGCCAGGAATAGCGGGGTCGCAGGGAACTGGGGGCCGTTTATTAATGTCACTGCTCATGGGAGGTATAATGCCATAGTTGCCACGCTTGGCCAGCGGGTTGTCAACCGCAGTTTTTTATTGCTTTTTGCTGTTACCAGAAAAATGCTGCTGCCTATCTTCTGCCTCGGTTTCCCTCTGTCACCTTTTATGACACCCACGGGAAGATATGGGGTGATAGGTATTCTTACCCGCCCGCTTAGTACTAAGTGGTAGATTAGCACTTAAAATTGCAATTAACAATTTAATTGGTGCCGGCGGGGAACGAACCTGGATTTTTCGCGTAATGTGAAATTTACAGCTAGCACTAAGCCCTAAATGCTACTACGGTTCATTAACAACATAATATTTTGTATATAATTGTGCCCTACTCGATTTATGTAATCTTTCTTCGTTTTCCATAAAGTCGCTTTTGTGAAGACCCTGCATTTATGCCCGTTATTTCGCTTCTTAGTGTTATCAATAGCAAAATAATATCACTTGATTGGAAATATTATAAAACAACGTAATTCGTTCCGACCTAACATTTCAACTCGCGTATCTCTGAAAAATCTTACTAGCAGTACCATAATAATAAAAAATAAAGATATACACTAAAAGCAGTGCCTTTATGTAATTTTCATCAGAAGTACACCCATAAATATAATTACAGGCTACGAGTTATTTTACTTTAGTCCTGATTATACATGACTGATTTCCTAGATATAAAGTGCAGGTACCCATTTCAAACATTAGCTGCTCACCATTCAGGTAGACTGTTACTGTATCTAAAATTATTTGTATCTAAAATTCTATTTAAAAAAGCTAGAATTTTTTGTTACCGATACTAAAAATTAGTATGCTAACCATCTAATTACAAAGTATAATCATGATTATGTAATAAACTTCAGTGCTGAAATATGTAATAGCTAGATACAGTTCATATACACGAAGCGATAACTGTTTTAATTTAGTTGCTTGTTGAGCTCATAAAAGTTATAACTTGTGTTCCGATCATTCATAAATATATTTTATAAAAAATAGCCAGTTTTAGTAAAAATGAAAATAATAGCAATATTATTCATAGTACTTGCAGTTATAAAGTCGTCAATATCAAATTGTTACTGGAGCGAAAATTGTCATTATAAACACTTTTCAAGCAAAACACCATACCAGTTTGTCAGAGGAGATATCAGAGATTCAATCGTTAAATTAAAGGGTTAGTAATTTCGATTATTCCTTTTGTTCATTCATCAAGAAAATTTACATAGCTAAATAATTTAAAACCTGTAATTTAACGTGTTCATAATATCGGTAGGATGTAAAGCAATTAGTGTCTGGAGCTTAGTAAGACATGGAAAAAGAAACCCAGGTTTTCGTTTCGCACAGAGTATGATAGATTTGACAACAATGAAATACGATATCAAAATGAATCATGAAAATGGCAAGGGCTCTATGTGTGCTCAAGATGTGGAAAATTTATATAATTGGGAAGCAGATCCAAATATGTTTAAAAATCTCCATCAAATTGCTGGTGAAGGTTATCAAGAAATGTATGGAATAGGATACAGATTAAGAAAAACGTTTAAAGATTTACTTAAGTCCTTGGGTGATAAAGATTACAAGATACGTCCGGCATATGGAGCTTGGATAGAAAACGGCGTTAAAGGATTTGTGGAAGGTTTTGGAAATACGTCAATGATAATTCAAAAATCAAACGCCGACTATGACATAATCGCGGTAGGTATAAAAATACAGAAAATTGTTTTTCAATTTATTAACGTATTTGCGTTGTCGTTATTTATACTTTGCCTATTAAATTTTAGCCCTATGAAGCTTGTAGTTTCTACAGAAATGAAGTAAGATATAATCAAGAAACATTCGCAGAATCATATAAGTATCAAAATTCATCAGAATTTCTTGCAGTAAGTTTTCCATGTTTATTTTATAATTATACATACGTCCTTTTAGAAAGTTTAAGATTTATGTTTAATGTTAAGTTAAGATAAAATAATATTATGATAATAACTTAATTACTAATAATTCCATTTTTCTCGAGCGTACAGTATATATATAACCTAATTATCCTATAATATATTCTAGGTAAAACACAGAATACAAAAGCGAACGGGAGCTGATTTTACGTTGTCAAACAGGAATATAACAGCCTTATATGATTTATGCCGCTTTACCTCTTCAGGTTTAAATAACGAACTTAGTCCTTGGTGCGCGATTTTTAATAAAGAAGACTTTCAAGTTATAGAGTACGAAGGCGACTTGAGGCATTTTTATAGAAATGGTTATGGTAATCCACTCAATGAAATATTTGGACGTATTCCCCTAGCAGATTTGCTAGAAAGTTTTAAGACAGCAAAAAACGGTAAAGGAAAGAAGCTTACTGTATATTTCACACACGCTACTATGATGGATATGGTATACTCTGCCCTTGGATTATTTAAAGATCAAATACCTCTTAATGGCACTTTTAGGAATCCTGAGAGGAAGTGGAGATCATCTAAAATAGCTCCTTTTGCTGCCAATTTAATAGTAACTTTGAACAGGTTCGTAATCAAGCAACGATTGTTCTAAATATTTCAGCTACATACTATTATTATTTTATATTATATTTCTTCATGACAGAGTTTTTATTTATCGTTACTAATATGTTGCTGCTGAATCTAAATCTGACAAATAACAAGATTTTTTTTTAATAATAAAACAGTACTCGCTCTCTCCCTCAAAACGAAATGTAAATTGTCCAGGTCTGGATTGTAATCCAGTAATGTTATCTACCAAAGAGGGTGATTGCTGAATTTATATTAATACCGTAGAATAGAACAGGATTGGTGCAGCATATTGCATTTATGAAGTTCAATAAATAAGACGTTAATTTTGACAAAACCAAACTATGTTTAATATAAAAAAGTAATCAATTTGCAATTGGTTGTATTCTGAATAACAAATTATTTTAGAGTTGACCTTCTTGTTATTTAACAAGCTGCACAGCAAATTAAATACCTAAATGTTGACTAATTAATCTATAATTTATTTAACTGAGTTATAATTACAATTAAACAAATATAAAAATAAAATACAAATATTAAATTAAAATAAATTAAGAAATAAATTAATCAGATAACTAAATTTGCAGATTTTATCGAATTTAATTTTTTTACGTTGGACTAAACGCGATATATATTAATGTAGTATTCGCACAAATATAAGAAATCATTATGTCTAACCAGTAAGGACTGGTAATAGCCCCTTTGACCATGTCACAATGATTATCACATTTAATTTGTATGTAAATTGGCTATGAATTTTATCTTTGGTACTATGGAAAGAAATATCCTGTAAGGCAAGTTTTTTTTTCATTTATTTATAACATTTTAATAAGTACAAGGGTTACATCTATTTAACTTACAAATCCCGTGAGGTTTGTCCGCAAGTTACAGAAAGATTTTAAAAGTATTTAACTTAAAATGGTTTTAAAAATATATAAAATGAATGAATCATAATGAACTTTTTAAAATACTTTACAAAAATTAAGTATAATAAAATAATAATTAAGTAAGCTAGAACATATTAAGAAATAACTAAAATATCAACTATTTTAACAATAATGAAAAGACTTTAGTTAAGGTGTCAATTTGTTTTACCATCTACAACTGCATTACCATCTACCATCGGTTGGGGTAGTTGTAAAACACTGACTTCAAGTATCAAGTAATAATTAAGTGACTTAAAAGAATTTAACGTCTCATTTCTTCATGTGGTTGTCGTAAGTGGTAACAATGGGATGTATAATATTTACGATAGATAGCGGTATAACATTTTGTTTACGCCATATTTAAATGTCTAGGGACGTGCCAGACCTTTGGTATTTGGATCGTCATTGGGTCTATCGAGCATGACGATTAAGGCAAATAATGCCTTACGACGAGAGAGATTCATGTCCAGCAGTGGACTTTTGAGGGCCAATTGAAAGGGTCACAGACTTGACGAAATGTTGTGCAATTTGTTGATGAGATCTTGACTTTGCAAATCCGCGAGAAGATCCGGATTTCTCAGATTTAACACATGCTTCATCCGACGGAGCTGCAGTTCCCACTTTATTAGATTGTAACCCCAACACGTTACAAGGCAAGTTGTCTTGTATTCAACGATAATGATTATGAATAATTTGTAAGGTAGAAGTGACATAAATGACTATTGAATCTTACTGTTTAATATTGCAACCCTTCCGTATTTTTAAGAAAATTAAATAAAACTTAGACGAACCAACCTACATTTGCTCATATAATAACAAAATTTCTTAAACAGCTATCTTTGTTTTTATGTTGTTGTAAAGTAAGTAGTATATATATATATATAGATATATTATACATAAGAACATGTTTATAATTTTAGATGAAGGTTAGAATCTCTTTAACATGTATTAATAGTGTCAGAAAATTAATCCCGTTGTTTAGATACAGGTTTAATGTTAATCATTTAAACGAAATGTATGAAATTCATCACTCTTTAAATGGGAAATACTGAGTCTTCTCGATACCACGATGATCGATGATTTTCTTGGGATCACAGTAGACCCGAAGCTTCAGTGGGGCTCCATTTATCAATACAAGCAAACAGACTTAGTTCTGCAACATAAGCTGTAAAAAAGATTAAAAATCTTACCAGTGTACAATCTTAAAATATAAACATAAAAGTAAGGCCTATTAAAGGAATTACTAGTGTAAAGATATATATATTAAATGGTAGTACTTCACTTAGACTTTCTATTGTACATAATTCGTCTGCCTAAATATGTCCATATACATCTACCATATGATATCCATTTCATAATTATTGCATTGGTAGTGACCGTAAGCGCAACTGTTTTACGAGGTCCCAAATATGAATTCCGATTTGGGCTAAAATATATTTATATTTGGTAGAGCCATGTTTCAGCTATATATGTATATATATATATATATATATATATATATATATATATATATATATATAGAGAGAGAGAGAGAGAGAGAGAGAGAATCGGAGGGTATTTTTCCTGGAAACGAGGCGTTCCGTCTTAGTCGTCAGGGTGACAACGCGTCTGTATTTTGATACTTGGTCGACGATAGATTAAAGTGTGTTTGGGCCACAGCATTCACTAACCATCAGGTGGACTGTGTGTTCTTTGTCATCTTTATTCTATAAAAAAAAGATGTTGCCTTATTCTCTTAAGAAATTCTCAATGGCAGCCCGGAGTCAGAAATTGGGTGGTGATTCCCCGACATTTCATAAAGCACGTAAACGTATAATGGCCCTCCACCTAATCTCTCTCCTGTCGTGTCGGATTGCCGTATCATGTTCTGCACAAATTTCTTATGTGTTTTATTGTTGTTTTATATGTCTCTTATTTGAATTTTTTTCTAGATGTTCAATTGACCAGTCAACAGATTATAACGTCGTATTTTATATGAACGAAGAACCTTTAAAATCGATCTGTAATGAAGGCGTTTGTTCTTGGGAAGACTTTGAAATAAAACTTAATCCTTTTACTAACACTACGTTAGCTTTTTGTTAGTATTAAATATATTTTTTATAATGTTGAATAAAATATTTTCAAATAAATAACGCAGATTTTTATTATTTCATAATATATTATTTACCTACGTGGAGAAAAAATATGCAGAATAAAATTAATATAATACTTCTTGTACTATTATTTATACTGTGAAAATACGCAACATTTCCTTTGAAAACGTTAAAAGAATGTTAAGCATTACGAAACTACTTTATTTAATTACATATTAAAATAAATGTTTTGAAGCTCTTTTTTAGGAAATCAGTATAGTTTATTATGTTCTATTTTTTACATACATACATATAATCACGCTTCTTTCCCAAAGGGGTAGGCAGATACCACTTATTTCCACTTGCGACGATCCATACAAACTTGTTTTGCTTCGTCCACTTTCATTATTTCCTTCATACATGCTCTTCGGTTGAGGGTACTCTTGACCTGGCCTTTTTTCAATACGTCCCTCATTTGGTCTAGAAACGTCCGCCTAGGCCTACCCCTCCCAACACTTTCATTCAAACACGCCTTATACACCTTTTACGTCAATCGTTCTTCGTTCATTCTCTCGACATGGCTAAACCATCTCAGCATACCTTTCTCAATTTTTGCCACTACATCTTCTTTCAAACCACAACGTTTCCTTATCTCACTATTTCTTGTCCTGTCACTCAGTTTAACTCCTATCATACTTCTTAACGCTCTCATCTCAATTGTATTTATTCTGATTTCATGTTTCTTCTGCCATGCCCAACTTTCACTTCCGTACATGAGTGTCGGAACCAACACCCCCTCATGCACAGCCAAACGAGCCTTGTTAGACACCTTCCGACTGCTCATAAAGGAGTGCAAAGCTCCATTCACCATGCTTCCTGCATTCACTCTTCTTTCGATATCACACTCACACTTTCCATCTCTTGTAAACTTTGAACCCAGATACACAAACTCTTTCACCTGTTCAATTTGTTCATCTTCAATCACAATATTGCAGTCTGTCACTGCCTCATCTTTCTCAAACACCATCACTTTCGTCTTCCTTACATTCATCTTCATTCCCTTTCTAACAAAAGCTCCACTTATTAGCAGTTACCATCTCCTGCAAATCCTCGGCCGAAGACGCAAGTAGTACTTGATCATCAGCATAGAGAAAACATTTGACGAGTAACTCATTCATTCTCCACCCACTTTCATTCTCTTTTAAATCTGTCAAGCAATTGTCCATGAACAGATTAAACAACCACGGTGACGCTACACATCGCTGTCTAACATCTTTTTCGATATTAAACCATTTAGTGTATGCCCCGTTTATCCTTACACAAGCACTAGAATCTCTATAAAGAGATTGCAATGCTCGTACGAGGATACTGCTCACACCGTTCACGGACAGTGCTAACGACAATTCATTCCTCACCAATCTATCATAGGCCTTTTCTAGATCCACGAAAGCGCAATAGACCTTCTTGTTTTTAGCCAAACACTTTTCGGCTATGCACCGCAAGGAAAGACCTGATCAGTACATCCCATTTCCTTTCTAAATCCCGCTTGTGCATCCCATACTTTTTCGTCTGTTTCATTCAGAACCCTTTCAATCAACACTTTCGCATACAATTTACCGACGACGTTGAGAAGGCTTATACCACGGTAATTTATACAGTCATACCGTGACCCTTTTCCCTTATATAATGGTACGATTACGGCTTTGCACCAGTCTCCCGTACTTGCCCATTTCGCCAGCACAAAATGAAAAGGCGGTACAGCTGACTAGCCACTATGCCCTATCCAGCCCTCAGCATCTCGACGGTAATCCTGTCATAACCTGCAGCCTTAACTAATCTCATACTTTTCAACGCTTTCACTATTTCATCTATGCTTATCTCACTTTTATCAACATTTATATTAGTTTCCATGGAAGGTGCCGGAATCTGTACCTGTACTTCCTCTCTTTCAAACAAACTTTCAAAATACTTTTTCTATCTCTTTTACACACTTTCTTCTCCTTTTATAATGCTCCCATCTTGACTCCTGATTGTACTCAGCTCCGAGGTAGAAATTTTTCCTCTGGCTGTTTTGATGGATTTCCAGTAAAACGTAATGTTTGACTGAAAATCTTCAGTGACACTCCTATCAAAATCATCATTTCGTTCTTCCTTCTTTCTAGACACAACTTCTTTCGCTGCTGATTTGAATCTTTTATACTTCGTTCTTGCTTGTTTTATCTCGTCATCCGTTGCATTTTGAACTTTTTGGTTAGCTTATGTTGCTAAGCAATCCAACCACGCTTTCTTCTTTTCTTGCACAACCCTTTTTCCATCTTTATCCAACCACACATTATAGTTCTTTATTCCTTTCCTTCTTTTAGCTACTCCGCATATCTCAATACTAACATTCAGGGCCCCTTTCTTAAATGTCTCCCACAAATCTTCAATCACACCTGGCTCTTCTATGCTTTTAAAACTTTCTTTCAGTTTCTCTACATACTCGTCTTTCTTTTCTTTTTCTTGTAGATTTTCCACTTTTATTCTGTCCAAAATACACGTAGGCTCGGTCCCTCGGTGTTGCCACCGTTTAAAGAGGCCACGCATTCGGGCTATGACCAGGAAGTGGTCTGTGTCGAGGCCTACACTGCCCGAGTGTCTAGCACATTCTTCCTCAGTCTTTCATCCACAATTACAACATCAATCATACTTCTAGACTCACCCTCATCTCTTGTATACAAATGGATCTTTTTGTGGTCAAACATTGTGATGGCCACGCACAGATTCCATTTCAAGCATACTTCAAGCAGGCTTCTCCCATTGTCATTCACTCTCTCGTCCCCAATCGTAGTCAGAACTCCTTTATACCCATCACGCTTTACTCCAACCTACACATTAAAGTCCCTTAACATCACGATCCGTTCATTTTCTCCGTATTTATTCAAGACCTCTCTCATGCTATCCCAAAATTCCTCTCCCTCTTGTTGGGCTTTTAATGATCCACCTCCGTGCAGATCCGTCGGTGCATAGACCCCAAGGATAAACAAGCGAGTGAGTCCGACTTTTAACATAATCCAGAGGAGTCTTAGGCTTACACATTCATGCTCCATCACACATTCAACTATTCGAGATGAAAGAATCACACTAATTCCCTGACAGCCTCGACTGGTTTGGGGGACTCCCGACCAGTATGCCGTGTAGAAGCCATGAACCGTGGTGTCACATCCTTTCCTCTTAGTTTCTTTCACGCACAGAATATCTATGTATCGTTCATCCATTATCTGACATACTTCATCTACCTTACCATCTATTCCTCCTCTTACATTCAACGTAGCGAAGCGGCTCTCCGTGGGCCGCTTTTTGCCCCCTCGAGAAACAAGACGTGATGGGTGGCGAACCACATCGCCGCCATTTTGGTTAATTAAATTATTTTTATTATTGACACTGCGTTCCCACGAATAGCGTGGGAAAGGTTTGTCCCCCCCAGCAGAGCTCCGCTTGCCAGGATAAGGCTAGCCCAATTTCGGGGTCGCCCGGTCCCAGGGCAGTGTGGCACGCTAACGACTAGGCTTGCCCCTAGCATATATGCATCCATCTGCGCGGCAGATTTTGGATTGGCGGAGAGGGTAGGAATAGGGAAAGGGAAGGATAGGTGGTGTGAAAATTAAGATTGGTAAGTTAGAGTGGGAATTAGGAAATGTAGGATATTACCGCCCGTATTGCTAGGGAAGCCGGGGTCGCATATCCGTATTCCATACCGCAACTACCGGACAGGTAAATTGCGATGAGTATCCTATGACTTATTTTCTGCCGACTTCCAAAAAGGAGCCGGTACTCAATTCGACTGTATGTTTTTTTTTTTTCGTTTTTTTTTTGTGTGTTACCTCAGAACTTTTTTCTGGGTCGAACCGATTTCGATGATTCTTTTTTTATTTGAAAGCTGGTACTTCTCGTGTGGTCCCATATGAATTTGATCAAGGTCAGACCAATAGTTTTTAAGTTATTCTTAAATAACTTATATTGAAGTCGGCTGTACAAAATTTTTAATTTTAAATTATTTAGTACTATGATTTAAAAACCGGACGAGATCTTCAATCAAATAGCCACTATACCAATATTTTATCTCGGCTAAAAGAAAATTTTATATAAAAAATGAGCAAATTCAATGACAAGTTTTATATAAGTCACATTTGATGAAGCTCATAAAACATTTAATAAAATCCTTTATATCGTTTTATTTTAAATACAATGCATAAATATTATTTTCTTTTTATGTACATAACATCGATATTTTATACTTGTATGGAATAATATTAAAAATGTTATTTTAGTTCGTGTGAAAGATTGACGGGTATTATCACATATAAAGTCCGATACGAAAGCTATTTAAAAACCATTAAAATATGTAAAATTTATGCCGGTTTTTCATATGAAATTAGACAAATTGTAAAAAAAATAGTGTTGTTTATTAATTGAGATTGATGTTTGGTCAGTGTTATAAATAAATTATCTTTGTATTTTTTTTCTTTATTTATAAATCACATAAAAAATAAATTATAATTAAATGAAAAAAAATTCTTGTCTGTTATGCATAAGATACATAAATAGATACAACATGGTAAAAATAAATAAAATAAAATCTATACTTTACCGTCCGTCCGTCACATTATTAATATTCATTAGAAGCAAATTAACATATAAGCAGTGAACTTTTCATTGCCTGTAATGTGTAATAATAATAATAATAATAATAATAATAATAATCTTTATTTCGGACCAAAATTAATCCATAGTAGTGTTAGTAACAATTGACTTATAAACTAGTGTTAGTAAACATTAATGTGTGGACAAACTTTTTCAAAATCGGAGAATTATAGTTCTCCGCTACTGTTTTCAAAATGCTGTTGTGACTATCTCTCACCCTTCTAAGCAGCGAAGCTGTTTTCTTACGTATTACCGCATGAAAACCGTCCGTGCGAGCTTGCGCAAACATCTCCGACGCACTACAGTATCGAGGCAGTCCCAACAACA